GAAAAAAAAAGCCGGAAGCAGTGCTATGGCTCAAGTGGTAGAGCGCTAGCCTTGAGCTGAAGAGCTGAGGGACAGCACCCAGGCCGAGTTCAGGCCCTACAACCGGACCCAAAAAAAACCAAAAAACTCTTAAAGTGGTGTCTGCCAAATAGCAAGTGCCCAATGAGTGTCAGTTATTAACCATGACCAATCAAGTGAGCGAAATTAAAAGTCTGGAACCAAAATGCCTGCACCAAATCCTGTATTTGCTATTAACTAGCTCTGTGACTTTGGCAACGTGGCTTCTTTTCTCTATCCTCAAATGCCCTCAGTTGTAATAGAGGGATAATGTCAGCCCAGTCAGACAGCCCAGCCTAACGGAGCTGTGCAAAATCCTGCTGAGACAATGTGCTTAAAGCATTTAAAATCATGCCTGGTACAGAACCTTTCTCAATCTATTAGTCACTATGATCACTGATCACCATGGTAACCCAATAAATCTTTGTTATAAATGGAGCTCCAGGTAGTAAAAAGACCAACGTAAGGTCACATGCAACTAAGCATGATTTAACACCATTTGTGAGACAACTGTGTGTGTTCCATTCACACTCAGCCTTTAGCGGGCACACACACACACACACACACACACACACACACACACACACACACACCTCTAGAGGCACTAGTTTTCTCCAGAGTCTCTTTTCTTGTTTGTTTGTTTGTTTTTGTCAGTCGTGGGGCCTGAACTCTGGGCCTGGGTGCTGTTCCTGAGCTACTGTCCCAGCCCCTCTCCAGAGTCTCTTGAGCTGGGTGCTGGTGGTCACAGCACCTATAATCCTAGCTACTCAGGAAGCTGAGATCTGAGGACCAGTTTGATACCAGCCTGGACAGGAAAATTCCTGAGGCTCTTAACTCCAAAAAACTGCCAAAAAAGCTGGGAGTAAAGCTGTGGCTCAAGTGGTACAGCACTATTCTTGAGCAAAAGAAGCTCAAGGACAGGGGCTGGGAAGGTGGCTCAGTGGTAGAGCGCTTGCCTTGCATGCTCGAGGCCCTGGGTTCGATTCCTCAACACCACATAAGAAAAAAGCCGGAAGTGGCGCTGTGGCTCAAGTGGTAGAGTGCTAGCCTTGAGCTGAAGAGCTGAGGGACAGCACCCAGGCCCAGAGTTCAGGCTCTACGACCGGACCCAAAAAAAAAAAAGGAGAAGCTCAAGGACAGTGCCCAGGCCCTGAATTCAAACCCTCGTACTGGCACGTGTGCGCGCGCACACACACACACACGCACACGAAACAAACAAAACTTAAAATAATCCTGTACATCTATCTAATATACCTTTGCCCATCTTTGGGATTGTGTTCATTACTCCTAGAAGTTAAATTGCTAAGTTAAAAAGTGTGCACATTTTTTTTGGGGGGGTCCAGTTGTGGGGCCTGAACTCTGGGCCTGGGCACTGTCCCTCAGCTCTTCAGCTCAAGGCGAAAGTTCTACCACTTGAGCCACAGTGTCACTTCTGGCTTTTTCTTTTTGCTTATGTGGTACTGAGGAATTGAACCCAGGGCCTCAGGCATGCAAGGCAAGCACTCTACCACTGAGCCACCTTCCCAGCCCCAAAAGTATGCACATTTTTAAAATTATGAAAGATACAGGATTTTGAGACTGCTAAAGGAAACGTAAGATTTAAGGCCTGATCTCTAGTACTGAGTTCTCCCCTGCAGAGTCTCCACTGGCCCTTCTATCACCTTTGCCACAAGCACACCAGAGAGTGAGCTCAATGGAAGATTTTGAGTTTTTCTGACCTTCTCCAACCCAGGGCTGGTATCCTCAGTTAAAAAAAAAAAAAAGAAAGAAAGAAAGACCAGATGCTGCCAGTGGTCAACCACAAAGTCAACAGCGCCTCTCCATCCTGCCTTAACCTCCTAAGCATCCTGGCGCTGGCCCAGTCTCACCCAGAAATTTCCAGTGGGCTCCAGCCTAACCATCTCCAAACACAAATCCAGAGTCACACTTTTAGCTCATCCCTGCAAGAGGGAAAAGAGACACTGCCCAGCCTAGGGAGACTGATGACATCAGGACCTCCTGGCTCCTGAGCAGGGAGATGAGAAACAATACCCAGGAGTAAACAGCCAAAGAAGCTCAGACGCTGGACCTGGGGGTTCATTCCTGTTGTTCCAACATTTAGTCCAAGGTCATTCCTTGAGATTTTGTCTTAAAAGAAGAAGAGAAAAAGGAGGGGGAGGGAGAGAAAAGAAAATGAGGAGGAAGAAGAGGGGGAAGAGAGGGGAAGGAAGAAAGAGAAGGAGGAGAAAGAGGAGAAAGGAGAGAGGGAAGAAAAGCTGCTTTGCTGCTGTTGCTCAGTCACACATGGCAATACACTTCAAAAGACCTGAGTGACCTTCAGTTAAACAAGGGAAAACTGGAGTTGGCATTAGTGGCTCATGTGTGTAATCCTAGGTACTCAGGAGGCTGAGATCCAAGGATGGAAGTTCGAAGCAGGAAAGTCTTTGAGACACTCCTCTCCCACCCCCCCACCCCCCCACCCCCCGTTAGTCATGGGACTTGAACTCTGGGCCTGGGCGCTGTCCCTCCATTCTTCACCTCAAGGCTAGCTCTCTACCACTTGAGCCATAGCACCAGTTCTGATTTTCTGGTGGTTTATTAGAGATAAGAATCTCACAGACTTTCCTGCCTGGGCTGGCTTTGAACCGTGATCCTCAGATCTCAGCCTCCTGAGTAGCTAGGATTACAGGCATGAGCCACTGGCGCCCAGCCTTTTTGAGACTCTTATCTTCAAAAATGTACCCAAAGCTGGAAGTAGAGCTGTGGCTCACATGATAGAGCACTAGCCTTGAACAACACAAAAAAAGCTCAAGGACAGTGCCTAGGCCCTGAGTTCAAGCCCCAGTACTGGTACGCACATGTGCACGCATGCACGCGTGCGCGCGTACACAAACACACACACACACGCCCATACACATACACACACACAAACACACACCTCTTTAGAAATGGTTTTGGAAGGGCTGGGAAGGTGGCTCAGTGGTAGAGTGCTTGCCTTGCATGCATGAAGCTCTGGGTTTGATTCCTTAGCACCACATAAACAGAAAAAGCCAGAAGTGGCTCAAGTGGTGGAAGGCTAGCCTTGAGCTGAAGAGCTAAAAGACAGCACCCAGGCACAGAGTTCAAGCCCCAAGACTGACAAGCAAGCAAGCAAGCAAGAAATGGTTTTGGAGGAAGGGACTGATGGACTGGTGGGAAACAAAGTCATGGAGAGAAGTTATCTTTGCAAACCTGTCCTGAGCACTTTAACTGTGATTTCCTACCCTATCAGGAAAACATGAAGAAATGAAGCTCGGGACAACAGTGAAAGATTTGCCTGAGCACATAATGCCCAGAAAGTACACAACCCAATTCCTACACCTAAAAAATTAGGAAGCTAGTCCCCAAGTTTGGGCCCCTGCAGAGTGGGAGAAGAGAGACAATGAGAGCTTCTCTCTGCAACCTACACCCGCCACACAGCCTCCTCCAGGGGGCTCATTTCCAAATGAGTTCCAATCCCTTCTTGCCTCCCAGGATTGGCATCTGACAGGCACCTGGAATTCCTTCTTCGTGTGCAATGCCTCCCAGGACCCACCCGGCTCAGAGCCCCACCTCTTCCTTCCAAGACTCCCCACAGGTCTGTCAAAAACCCCTGTGAAGAAGAATCTAGAAAGAGGGAGAGACTATGCTCACAAGAAGAGGACCAAAGCAAAGCAAGACTACCCATACTGGAGGACAGAAAGGTTGTCCTGAGTGATTTCCTATCTCATTTAACTCTCTGTACTTTAATAAAGGA